CGCCGCGGCCCCCCGCGGCCGCGCCACGGGAGGGGACGCGGCCACGGCGGTGAAGGGGGTCACGCGTGGGGTGTCCCCCGCTCCCGAAAAGCCGTGTCCGCGGGGAGGGCTCCCTCCCTGCTCCCCCACGCGCGGCTCCGGCCACCCCACTGCGCCTCGCAAGAGCGAGAAAGTGCGAGCCGGAATCCCTTTGCATAATTGTCGGGAGTTTGAATTACTGATTACAACTTGTAAGCTACCAAAGCTCAGGGTATAATTTACTTAATTATCCAACGAGATTATGGCAGTGGTGTCGAACCCCTCTTAGGTAAAGCAGAACTGATTCAGCGTCCCGAGCCGAGGCGATGTGAATTGTGTCACTGGTTCGTCGTCCTACGGCTTTTTTTTTTTTTTTTTTTTTTTTTTTTTTTTAAACGAAAAACCAATCGCTCTAATCTTTCCGCAGGGACTTGGCGCAGGGGAAGCAGGTGGGAAGTGAGACGGGCGCTTCTGAGCGCTGTAACCAGACTTTCATCTCAGCTTCGAAAATATTGCCCTGCAAAATTGCTACCTTTCTGCAAGCATTTGATCTATGCAGTTATGCGTGTCAGACGAAATGAACATCGTTTTCAAAAGCAGCGACTTCTCCCAGTGTTTTAAGGTGCATCCGGATCACTGCTCATTTGCATGAGAGGAGCAAGTGTTTGTTTATTGTGGCAGAGACAAAAGATGACCCTGGACGGGGCTGGCTGCGGAGATTTCCGCGGCTACCTCTGGGCCGGGGACGAGCCGCTTAGGAGCGGGTATTAAAGGCCCGAGAAAGACCCACTCCCAAAGATTTAAACTTTTTTTTTTTTTTTTTTTCTCCTAAGGATCAGAAAAGAAAGGGGAAAAAAAACCCTCAAGCCGACGAAAGGAATGATCTAAAAATAAAATCGAGGAGGACGGCGGAGGAGCTAACTGTTGGAGGTGTTATCTGCCTTATCTAACATGCAGGTGCTGATTTGCAGCAGTTGCATTAAGCCCATCATCAGCAGGGACTCCGCATTATCATTTTTGGTGGAGTCTCTATTTATTTTTTTTAAACGAGGGTGTTTTTCTTCCAGGGATGTTTCTTTGAAATGCAGTTCGCGACGATTATTAGCGAGTGTGCTCGCGCTGCTCCTGGCGTCATTAAGACTAGGAATCTAAATAATAAAAGACAGGGGGAGCTTAAAGTTCATTTGTATTAAAGGGACGAGATGGATTTGAAAAGAAACGAGCAAAGGAACCGTCGAGCTTCTCATGTCTGGAATCAGTTCATTTTCTTTCAAAAAAGACCCTGCATTGTAGCAGTTGTGGTCATTTTTAGCATAAGCTCGGAAGCTTGAATTTCTTTTTTTTGCTCAGAAACGACTCAACAAGTCATTGATAGTAAAGAGCGAACCTGACATTCTCATTCTTCATTTTTTTCAAGGTCTGAACACTTTCATTTTGCTGATTTTGGTGGCCAAAGGCAAGAAGATAAATAAAATTATCGTCTATTTCTTTAATAATAATAATAAGAAGAAGTGGAATATTTAGAACAAATTATCTAAGCAAAACGCTCCAAATTGCCACTTTCCTTCCTAGAAAACAAATCAAGCTCTGAAAGCAGCGAAAAGGCTAAATAGGGGGAAGTTTGAGGCAAACTTTCCAAAACATCCACTTGCTCCCCCGCCTCGACTCGCGCAAGCGGCGGTTCCCGAGAATGCTGCGCAGGGAGCGGCTGCCGGGCGCGCTCTGCGCGCAGCGCTGCGCGGCCTCCCGCTCCCCGGGAGCCTTCGAACGAACCGAAACGCGCGGACCCCGGGCAGCTCCTCATCTGCTCGGGCCTTTCCCGGGAGAAAACGGGAGGGGGATCCCAACGCGGGGCTTTGGGAAGTTCCCTCCTAACTGCGCCTTTCTGCAACCCAGCGCATTCCTGTCTCGAGCGCGACCTGCTCCAGGTGCCACCTGTGGCAGGACTCGGACCTCCTGCGCTTGGCCAAACTCTCCCGAGCGAAACTCCCGCCTTCGCAGGAGCTCCCGGGCTCGGGAGCAGGGAGAGAGGGCTCTGCAAGGACCCGGCTCCCCCGGGGCGAACAGGAACCACCGAGCGGTGGAGGGGACGGCTGCTCACAGGTGGCAGCTTTGCACAGTTATTATTATTTATTTTTAATGGTGCTCGTACTTCGAGGCATCACCTGTTTCTAAGAAAAAATGCTCGTTTTCCGGAAGTTTAGAGCCTCCCCCCCCCCCATTTCTCTTTTTACGAGAACGCAGTTTCCTCCATGGGGCCCTGAAGTCCCCAGCTGTGCCCGCTCCCTTCCCTTAGGAGGGCGGCCAAAGCCAACTGCGGAGCCCCTGTCACATCCAGTAGTTTTCCTATTTGGCAGTAATTAAAAGAGAGCGTGGGGATGCTAATTAGCTGCATCCCTCTTCCTCCTCAAATTCTTCAAGCACACACATATCTGTCTCCGCAATGACACGGCTGCAACCTGTCCGCGCTTCCCCTCCGCTCCCCCGGAGCTCGCGCGAAGGCGGCCGCAGCCCCCCGGGCGCTCCCCGCGCAACTTCCGCACCAAGCACGCGCAACGTCGAGGGCAGCGCCCTGGCTCCGCTTCCAGCCCCACCGCGGGCAGCGAGCCTGCAACACGGACACGGGGCTTGTATTGCCCCCAGCCTAACAATTTTCTTAATCAGCTTGACTCCAGCTCTGTTTCCTTGCTGCTCATGGCTGGCATAGGGGCGGGGGTTCCCACCCGTAGAAGGACGTGTTTAGCAGTTCCCGGGAAGAAGCCTTTGACACGAGGCTCCGCAGGCCCGAGGTCAGATGCTTCGTGGCAGGAGGCAGAGGCTCTGCAGCGGCGCGCGGCCGCCTCGGGCTGCGGCCAGGAGCAGCTCTGGCTCTTGCCCACAAGGTCCCTCGAGCTGGATGGGGATGGCAGGAGAGTGGTACCTGCCAGGGGGGCAGCCGAGGCAGCTGCAGCCAGAGAACAGCACACAAAGACCTGAATTTTCAGCCTTTCTGCCTCTGGGACAGGGAGTGGCCGTGTGGCACCACATCTGTATTTATTTTGGTCTCCTCATCCATAGAATGAGGGTAATAACCCTGTTGCTGGGTAAGGCTGTGCTTGGGGGGGGCCAAGGATGAGGTGGGGAGCAGGGGCTCCCAGATCCCTGCAGCTCTGCGTGTTGCTCCCGAGATACCTCCCCAGGGCTGGGACACCGTCCCTGCAGGGATGCTCTGATTTTGGGCTCTCTTCATTTCGTTTCCAGGGGGAGCAGCAGTGTCATGAGCTTCACTGCTATTAGCCAGAATTGGGCTTTAAAGGAAGTTGTTGCTGCACTGTGTGTCCAATTAAGCACTGTGTTCATTAGCACAGGAAGCAGACTCTGCACCAAAAAACACAGTCAAAACCAAGAACACAGTAAAAAAAAAAAAGCCAAATATGAAATCCAAATTCATATATTCAGTCAGGGTCTTTCCTGAAAGCAAAAATATAATGCTTGGCACAAATTCTTACTTCAGAAAAACTAAACCTCAATGGACCATACATGCTATAGATGGATCCCCTATGGATCCTACAGCTGACTGCGTACACTGCAGTCAGAGTGAAAGACCCAGAGTGAAAGAGGAGAAAATTCCACGTGCTGAAGTGGCAGGAAAGCAAATATCTCATTTACAGGCACAGAAGTGAGACTAATGCCAGTCCTTAGGTATCAGCCTCCCAGTTAATTCCTCTGCCCTTCGCGACTGCAAGGCAGGCGGGAGCGGGTCTGGCAGCAGCGGAGAGGGGCCCTCAGGGAGCACGGGGGGTTAAGCAGGAGGGACTGGATCCAGGACTCCCGTG